GATGTTGCCGAGCACATATTGGGGTGTCCTTTGGCAGGAACACCTAACAGGAGGTTAGAATTTATGCTCAAAGTAGAATGTGTGAGTGAAAAAGTGAACATGAATGTGTGAGAGAAAAAGGACATCACAAAAACGTTTGACAGAGACTGGTGGTAGAATTAGTGCATGTAAAGTGTTGAAATGCCACCATGTGAAATGCCCTAGGCTGTGTACTTTTCCAAAACATACGGTTTGACGGAGGTGAATTACATTGGCTGGCTTCAGAAATGTTCCATCTGGGACATGGGGGCATGATGGCCAGCTGTGTTTTATGTCTCATCATATTTCACTTTTTTTTATTCTAGTAAATCATATGATATGATGAAAATAATGGTATCTTTAGAATGAACATTTAATAGTGAGGTAAACGGTATACAATATGTGTGGGCACAGTAAATATATAAGAGGCAAATACATCTAAACACAACCACTGCAGAAAAAGAGCCCTGGTCCTTAACGGTAATACAATTGAAAAATTGCCTGGTCACTAAGGGGTTACGGAAGTCATGTTGTCAGTCTTTACATTTATACACTATGCAAGCAGAGTTAAATTTAAATGGTTCATTTATTTAACAATACACTCTAGTCATATTTCTTACTTCTATAGCAAGTTTCTGGAGTATTCAGAGAAAAGGCAGTGTTTACATTGCTGCCTAGGAACACCTCTAGTGGGAGTCATGACCACTAGGGGTGCTTCCTATCCCAGTGCTGTACAGTGTGCAACTCTGGTGTTCAATGTCTCCACACACTGCATGGCACTGAACGTTCCTCATAGAGATGCATTAATTAAGGAGAAAGGGAAAGAGGGGAGAGAAAGGCTTGCAGACAGCGTGCTGCAGATTTTTACAAGCTGTTTTTCATATACCCCTAAAGAAAATATGCAGAAAAAAAAATAGCATTTTTTTCATTGGGGGTATAGCTGCCAATTTGTTAAAAAATAAAAATCCACTGGAGTAATGCTTTAATGTTGATCCCTATCCATGCCAATCTGCCTAGGAATGTAGCCCATGGATCAGCGCAGCTAAGAGGAATAGGCCTTGACAGAGCCAGGAGGTAGGCATAGCAGCCACAGGAATTTAGTATCAGCTAGCATGCTGGCTAGGGCGGAGCCATACCAGCCATTATAGGAAGTGGCCATTTTAACTGAACCTAAGCTTACCTGTCAGTTGTGAAAGCTGCCTGCCTTGGAGGGAGAAGGCAGCAGCATGGAGGCAGCATAGAAGAACAGGCAACATGGAGGCAGCATGAAGAACAGGCAGTACTGAGACAGGAGGCAGCATGGAGACAGGGCTGCCATCAGAAATTTTGGGGCCCCTGACACAGCTCAAGGTCTGGGCCCCCCGGTGCCTGCACCCGAGTCCACCCGAAGTGCTGCCCCCCCACCTCCCCCCCCCGAGTCCGCCCACAGGAATGCAGTGTCTGCAGGGCCGGTGCAAGGATTTTTGCCGCCCTAGGCAAAAGTAAAGTTTGCCGCCGCCCCCCCATGTGACATCACAATGCCCCACTCATATGATCTGCCATGTTAACTAACGCCAGTGCTGCAGTGCCGCCGTGTTTACATTAAAAGGCCTGCAGGGACAGGCTAGACACCAGAACCACTACATTAAGCTGCAGTGGTTCTGGGGACTATAGTGTCCCTTTAATGTGAGGTAAATTAGAGATTAGTGCCACAAATAATATACCAGATTGCCTACTTACAACCAGATGAGGATGATGATGGGCTCTAGCTGCAGTCTGGCTCCACTGGTCTGGTGTAGAACAGGCTCTCTGGAGGCGTTTTGTAACTGTGGTCACAAAAATCAATGTTTTGGGATCAACGGGAAGCAGCTCCATTTTTTTGAGGGCCCTTTACACACCTTCATGTTCCACCAATGAGTTTGTTCACAGAGGGTGGAGTGTGTGTGGGGGGGATGTCCTGATGTTTGTAAGGAATGCATTCTGTGAATCTGTGTTTGTATGTGTAAGGGCTGCAAGGTGAGTTTGTGTATGTATGGGATGCAGTGTGTGCGTCTGTAAGGGATGCATTGAGTGTGTGTAAGGGGTGCATTGTGTGTTGCTGTGTTTAAGGGATGCATTGCTTGTGTATGTGTGTCTGTGTGTAATGCATTGTGTGTTTTTTCTGTG